GGGGGGGGGGGGGGGTGGCAAAACCCCAGGCCAAGGTGTGAGTCCCCCTTCCCGGTCCTTTTAAAAAAAAAAAAAAAAAAAAAAAAGAAGATCAAATTAGAATCATAATTTAAGGACAAAAGCACTCAATTTTCCAACTATTGGCCTTTTTTTTTTTTTTTAAAAGATAGTATTACCTATCCAACATCTAAAAAGGCAACATGCTTTGAAATGATGGCAGATAGGGAAAATGACATTAGTCAATTAAGATACTTTATCCTGTTGAGCCAAAGAAAAAAATTATTATAAAGTTGTACCCCCAGGGCCGGCCCCATGGCTCACTCAGGAGAATGCGGTGCTGACAGTGCCGAGGCCGCGGGCTTGGATCCTATATAGGGATGGCTGGTGCGCTCACTGGCTGAGCGTGGTGCAGACCACACCATGCCGAGGGTTGCAATCCCCTTACTGGTCAAAATAAATAAATAAATAAATAAAGTTGTACCCCCAGAGCATTATTTTCCCCCCAAAGAGGCATACAACATTGCATGATTCTGGCATGCAGGTACTTTTTCCCCAAGGTTGATATATACACATAACAAATCATAGCAACATTTTTATAAGAATAATCATCTTACCTGCATATGAAATGCTAAGAAGCTTGCTTCTTTCAAGAGGGGGAGCCCAGGTAGACCACATGGCATGCATGGCTGGAAATGTAACTCCCTGCGGGGGAGAGGAAGGGAATATTTCTGATGAAATACAAGGTGGTTTTGTTAATACTTTAGAGTAAGTTCAGTATTTTGTTGCAAAAGCATTTTTTTTTTTTTTTGGATAAGAATCAAACCAGAATTAGACTCTATTAAGTGACATGTCTTTACAGTGTTAAGTCAAAACACCTTATAATGAAGTACTTTCAAATCTGAACAAAGAGTCATGGATTTGAGAACTGGTTTGAGGACTGCAAGGCTAGGGTTACAATAATCTAAGAGAATATACTGAGTGATGACATAAAGAGATCACTCGCAAGTTTAATTTTACTCATTCACTTTATTTATTTATTTATTTTTCTAAAAGATGACTGGTAAGGGGATCTCAACCCTTGGCTTGGTGTTGTCAGCACCACGCTCAGCCAGTGAGCAAACCGGCCATCCCTATATGGGATCCGAACCCCTGGCCTTGGTGCTATCAACACCGCACTCTACCGAGTGAGCCACAGGCCGGCCCACCTCATTCACTTTATTAACAGCCTGAATGAAATGGGGATGTTACTCATTTATAAACTTTAAAAGTACTGAGCTAATACTTTGGGATGCTGGAAGAAAATTAAAATTGACCTTAATCAACAGGAAAATTCAATTAGAGGACATGTTCAATTAGAGTCTTTATAGTCTTTTTTTCCTGGTAATAACTAGCCTAGTAACTGCTAATTAATGATGTAAAGAGGTAATGGAACATGGAGGCAGGGAGGCTCACAGAAACTTGGCAGGTGAGGAGACATCACAGGAGAGTAAGAGGGACTAGGTTCTGGTAGATTCAAAGCAGTGGATTCTCAGCTCTCCTTGGCCACTCTACTGTGTAACCTCAGAAAGATTAGTCAACCTTGAACTTCAGTTTCTCCATCTGTAAAATGGAGATAATACTCCCTATCTTGCATTATTTTTTTAAAGATAAATGGTAGCTAATGCTATTATTAATGGAGAGAAGAATAAATGCTTTAATACTTTGTACTTTTCGCTGATTCTTTCAAAAACACAGAAATATTCATGGAAGGCAAAGATGATTTAGGCTACACTGCAAATTGATAAGAATCTATATTGTGGAGTATCCACAGGATAAGTCAATGTAGAATAAAAGTTAAGATGTTTGGACACGCCCACAGAGATTATGTTGTGGAAAACTATTATAAAACCCTAGGGGCAAGGTAGGTATATTTTTGGTGAATCAGACGGTAAGGATGAAAGATGCTGACCGCTGACCTAAGTTTATGAATGAGGCAATGTACCTGTGACACTGAGTGGGAAAAAGAAACTGTGTTTCTCCTACTATGCTCTCACAACATACTTCTGATGCCAGATGTGTGGGGATTTCACCCCACCAGCAAGCAAGCAATCAGTTCTGCAGTGGACACCACCTGGGTGTCCTCCAATTCAATTCTGATACTATCTACCTGGAGACAGTATCAATTCCCACAAGATGAGGGCTCAGTCCCACAAGACTGTCCCCTACTTCAAATGCCAATCACAGCCCCAGGTTGTTTTACCTGTTCTTCTGACCAACTGGCTATAGATTGGAGTTCCCATACCCCCTTCTTGGGTTCAATTAATTTGCTAGAGCATCTCTCAGAACTCAGAAACACTTACATTTACCAGTTTATTATAAAGGATATTACAGAGGATAGAGATGAAGAGATGCACAGGGCGAGGTATGGGGGAAAGGGACAAGGAGCTTTCATGCCCTCCTTGGGAGTGCCACCCTCTAGGAACCTCCATGCGTTCAGCTATCCAGAAGCTCTCCATTGCCTATCCTCTTGAGCATTTTATGAAGACTTCATGGATAGGTATGTGTTGGGAAAACAGAATAGTTTGGTCAGGGCCCTCGCCTTGGGTCCAGTTGGGTGTGGTTCAGCATCCTTTGTAAGCAAATTGTGTGTGTGTGTGTGTGTGTGTGTGTGTGTGTGTGTGTGTGTGTGTGTGGAGTTAGTGAGCATGTTTTTAGTTTTGTTGCTATTTGTGTGTTCTCTAGAGAGAGAGAGAGAGAGAGAGAGAGAGAGAGAGAGAGAGAGAGGTGGAGAGAGACAGAGAGAGTTTGGTGAAGCAGGCGGGAGGGTGTCGGCCTCAAGTGTCTGCCCAACACAGCCATGCTTTCCAACCTATGGCTTCCAAGGACCTTTTGGCCTGTTACCTAGCTCACAGACCTGCGTGAAGGGGTCTGGGGACCCAGCCTGGCATGTGAAGGGTTTGAGACCCAGTCTGTGAATGGGCTTGAGGGGTCTATGGGCTCCAGACCTAGCCTTAGCTTGACAATCGGCCCAGTCAGTGTAGGATTACCAGCAGGTAAAGGAGCACCACAACTGGCGTGGTCGAGTGGCTTTACAATTGGCATCATGAACAGGATTAGGAGAGCGCTACAATTGGCGCTGTGAGCAGGATTCCAGACACTGGCCTTAGAGTAGCCAGACAGTATGATTGAAGCATGGACAACCGTGTGGAAATGTGACTGGACAAAAAGAGTATTATCTAATACTGGTAGACTGGGTGGGGAAACCCAGCAGGGCGTGTCTGTTCATATTTTTCTTGGCCTCTCTGTATTACAAGGCTGTGCTCTAACCAGCTGGGCTAACTGGCCAGCCCCCTGGCCTCTCTGTGCAGCATTCCTTCCTCCTGGGTATAGGGCAGGGCCCCTTATTAAATGGGGGGCATCTTAAGGCCTAGACAAAAACCAGTATCTCTACATCATAACATCACAAATGCATATTGGAGGAATGAAGAAAGACAAGAGAACCTAAGTATTAACACAACTTAAATTCTATTTAGAAATAAAATAGTCCCCTGAGATAGT